CATAGGAGGAAATCTCTGAGATTTACATCAAAGTCCACTGAACAGAAAAAGTCCTCTCTGCAGCAACAAATGTCAGGCCACCTTTACTGAGTTAAGCAAAAGTGTTGATGTGTGGAAAAATCCAATGAGACTTGCATCTGAAACCAAAAGTACAGCATTTTAAGAAAATGTAGTTTATATAGATTTGAGATGTAACAACCATAAACAGGATTTTTCCATGTCATAAACTCTGGTGTGGTAAGAAATGTCTGCCTGTATTGATCCAAACCGGAATGCACAGGATGCATGCACTTTGTTTCTTTGATTCAAGTGCATTCAGCTGATATTCTCATCCTCTTTGCATGAGCTGAAGGATCTTGGATACAGCTGCAACTCTATGAGAAAGCATGAAGAAAAGTAAGGAAGATACAGTCAACTAACCATCAACTCAGAAGAATAGCTAGGACAACAAGTAGCCATTATTACTTGAGTATTACCTCCAAGCTTCCCGCTGAATATCAGGCTGATTTGTTAATGTAAGGCCACAAAGATTCGTAAAGCTTATGTTACCATGAATTAATACCTGCATCCAAACTTCAGGTTATTAAACACAATGCACTACAAACCCCTGAGATCACAAATCTCTCTTACAAACCAGAAGTCATACAAGCTCTGATATTGACAAGCTCCTCAGAATTTTTTTCCATTCCTTTGATCATTGTGTCTCATCAATTGTAACTACTTACCAAAAGGAATTGGAATATCATGCTTTTCAATTGTCTGTGAGAACAGGAATAAAGACACAGATATGTAAATATTCCCCCTTCTATTTGATAGTTTTCAATCTTGATGAACAGAACCTTCTTGCAGATTTAGTCAAAGAAAAACCAAAGCAGTATTCCTACATTTGCTATCACTAGCCAGAATAAGGAGAAGTGCACAGATTAAAAACTAAAATCTTTCTCTCTTCTTCATTTTCCCCAAATTTCTCATATAATCCCTGCTGTACAAAGCATATATATAAAAATTTATAAAACAACAGAGTATGGTTTCACATCATTTAGCCTATAACAAGGCTGTAACCCAACCCAGTAGCCCTTGACTATTCTCAGGCAAACCTGGCTATTAGTCTTCATTTTTCCAATGAGTAACAAAAGGGAGAATTGTGATGCAATCTCTCCTTTTAGAGCATAGCAGTCATCAAACAAAGCAAGTTTCTTGGGGAACTGCACAGCCCCAAGCACACAGTCCCTCAGGGTGGTGGTCGGGGTGAATGAGCTCATTTACACCCATGAAGTTACTGGATTTAGACACACTCCCTATACCTAGACTACTACTAATCCCTTTGTTTTGCTTCTACTTCTTTAATGTGATATATCATAAATGTAGTTAGATGAGTGATGCCTGAACTGACATATTTATATTCCAAAAAGCCTGTAGGTGGACTAGGAACAAGCCAAAGTTAATTGAGGAGAGATTTCTTATAAATACGTGAAATAATTTGATACTTCTTTAGTTTTAAATACAATCTCTCCTTTGATTTTGCATTAAACTAGATCAGTTTTTAAAGAATA